GAATCCCCTCCCATCCTGCTCCATTCCCTGCCCATGGAATGAACTGGGAATCCCCTCCCATCCTGCTCCATTCCCTGCCCATGGAATGAACTGGGAATCCCCTCCCATCCTGCTCCATTCCCTGCCCATGGAACGAACTGGAATCACCTCCCATCCTGCTCCATTCCCTGCCCATGGAATGAACTGGGAATCACCTCCCATCCTGCTCCATTCCCTGCCCATGGAATGAACTGGGAATCACCTCCCATCCTGCTCCATTCCCTGCCCATGGAACGAACTGGGATCACCTCCCATCCTGCTCCATTCCTGGGAATTACCTCCCAGCCTGCTCCATTCCCTGCCCATGGAACAACCAGGGATCACCTGCCAACCTGTGGAACTCGGAGGGCTCCTCCAGCTCCAAAGTGCCACTTCCAGCCCCGAGGAGACCCCAGAGTTCCCCTTCCAACCCCAAGGAGACCCCAAAGCGAAGCCAAGAGTTTGGAGACCCTCGCCCACATGGGAACAAGGAGCGGGATCCCCCCGGCAGCTTCCCTGCCCTGAACTCCTCCTTCCCGGCTGGAAAAGCCCTCCCTGGCAGCTGGGCCGGGGGGGGTGGACACGTTACTTGTTCTTGAAGTCCTCCACCAGGTCCTGCATGTTCTTGAGCTCCCCCTCGAGCCGCCCCTTGTCCCCCAGCAGCCCGTCCAGCTGCCGCCGCAGGTTGCTGATGTAGGTCTCGAACATGGGCCCGATGTTGCTCCGGGTGGTTTTCTGGTCCTGCAGGAGGCTCCACTTGGTCTCCAGCATCTTGTTCTGCTGCTCCAGGAACCGCACCTGGGAAGGGAACCCGGCGTCAGTCGGGGAAAGGGGGGGAAAAGGGGGGAGAGCTGCAAAATCTGGGAGGGCTGGGATGGGGTTGGGGATGACCCAAGGGTGGGGGTGGCTCATGGGGACCACCAAAGGGGGTGACCCAAGGGTTTGGGAGGGCTGGGATGGGGGGTGGGGGGTGTCCCAAGGGTTTGGGTGTCCCAAGGGTTTGGGTGGCTCATGGGAAGCACCACACGGGGTGTCCCAAAGGTTTGGGTGTCCCAAGGGTGTGGGTGGCTGGTGGGAAGCACCCAAGGGGGTGTCCCAAGGGTGTGGTTGTCCCAAGGGTTTGGGTGTCCCAAGGGTTTGGGTGTCCCAAGGGTGTGGGTGTCCCAAGGGTTTTCGTGTCCCAAGGGTTTTCGTGTCCCAAGGGTGTGGGTGTCCCAAGGGTTTGGGTGTCCCAAGGGTTTGGGTGTCCCAAGGGTTT